CACCCACACCGTGCTACCCTCTCCCCGGACTGTCTGCCCGCCCCTCTCCTCAGCCAGTCTGCATGACTCCTCCGGATCATTCAGTCGTGTCCAAGACTGAGACTACCTCGGTCTCCTTCCTCCTGCTCTGTCTTTGCAGCGGTGCTGCAGGCCTGGCCATCACCCAAGCTCTTCCTGAGCGCGTTTTGGCAGAGGTGCACTGTTCTACACGCAGGTCTGTAACCCGTGTCCGGAAGTGAGGGACAGCTCACTTTTCTTTATTTTCTTTTTTGCAGCACTGGGGATGGAGCCCAGGGCCTTCATGCTGAGCTGTTTCCCCCTGCGCTTTTTCACTTTTTAAAAAAAAATCTTGAGACGGGGTTTTACTCTAAGTCTCACTAGGTCACTAAATTGCCCAGGCTGTGATTGAATTTGCGATCGTCCTGCCCCAGCCTCCCAAATGCTAAGATTACTTGGGCTCTGCGCCACCATAATTGGTTCTACTACTGTATTCGAGTAAGTGTTCTCAGCGTTTCAGACAGGTGGAAGTGAGGCGGAGTACAGAGAAACCGAGAATAACATCTGCCCCTCGCTGTCCTTGATTCACACCAAAAGTCAATCAGTGCGAGAATTCTGAGGCTGGGCATGAAGCTCAGTGGTGGGGCATGATCTTAGCATGTACCAGGTCCTGGGTTTGATCGCCAGCCCCTCCAGGAAAAGAAAAGCTGAAGAACCGAATTTAGCCAGGAAAAATGAAATATGCTTGTAATTCCAGCACCGAGGGAGGCTGAGGCAAGAGATCATAAGGGTCAGGCTCATCTGGGCAATTTAGTAAAAGCCTGTCTCCAAATAAAGAGTAAAAATGGCTGGGGGTGGAACTCAGTGGTAGAGTGCCCTGGGGCTCCATCTCAAATAATGGAAGAAGAAAAGCCACATATTCTCAGCTTTGTTCTGGGGAAACATAACATTAAAGAACAGAAGCTAGCTAAAAGGGCCGGGAGTTAGTTCAGTGGTTCCCCTGCCTGCCTCGAAAGTACAAGGACCCAAGTTCCATCCCTCATACCACCCCCCAAAAAGAAAAAAAAAAGCAAAGAAAAAGTAGAATAAAACAGTTACAGATTACATGTGTATAGATCTCCAGTTGGTTTCGTTTTTTGT